GCACTGGAGGCGAGAGGAACTGGAGAGAGTCAGGAGACGAGGCTGAGGAAGATGAAGAAAATCTGGAAGAGCTTGTGAAGCTCTTCTTCTGGAGATCAATGGCGCGCTTCTTCTCTAGAGTCTTCTCGAAGTGAAGCTGGATGATGGTGTTCAAGGCTTGCAATGCCGTCTCCTTCTGGTGGTGGTGGCCTTCGTAGTCCGCCATGGATAAAGAGCCAAAGGAGCCGCAAGAAGAACGTTGGGGATTTTCTGATATAGAGCTATAAAATAATTTTAAAATTTTTTAAAAAACAGCAGTGGGAGAGTAGGACAAAGTAATGCAGTAAAAAGCAGTGAATCAGAAACGGTGAAAGATTTGAATGAGGATTGAATGGTTGGTTTAGATTTTAAAGCGAGTGAAAGGGAGAGACTGGGAGGGGAGATACTCGGATCTCAATGCGTTATCTGAGTGTGAGGAAAATCCGACGGACGAAGAAAGGGCGTTTTAAAAGCTTGTTGGTGCGGGAGAAGATGATTGAAGGCGAATAAAGAACTTATAAGCTATCACCATTAAAATTATTTATAAACACGTTTTACATTATCTGAGATAAAATTTTCTTAATATATTTATCTCGTATTTTATAAACCATGATTAAAAATTTATTTATAAACTATTTCAAATGAGTCCGAAAACTGGTTAGAATTTGTTTGGAAGATTTGTTTGGAGCTCTTGGCACTTAGTAAGTAGGAATGAAGATGGTTTAGGATTTGTTTAGAATATTAGCACTTAAGGTTAATACACTGTGAGTATGAAAAACTTTACTTCTAAATAAAAACTCAAGAAATATAATTTTGATTCCTCCAAATGCCAAGGGAAAAAATTTACCCCTCCCAACCTGAATTTTGATTCTACCAGTAAGAGGCAAAATGAAGTATGTTAGTTATTTTCTAATTCAGTTAAAATGTATTTTTGCATTGAAAATATTTTGAGCGAAATTGCAGGCACTTTAGAAAGAATTATGAAACAATGCATTGTATGGTCTTGGAAGAATTGTTAAAAAATTCTCTCATTCTAAAACTTATTATGCTATGAGATATTTAAAGGACCCAAAACCGCACCTTTTTTTAATTATGTGCAATATATATTCAAGTATATGTAAATGTCTTTGATTTGGCACATATTTAAAGATAAGTTATATACAGTTGAAGGAGATCTACATCTACTTGAAGTAAGTTACACATGGGTTCTTAATCAAATTTTAGTTAGTGTCAAATTTTGCAATTAGGAATTTTTTTTCAGCAATTTTTCTTGTAATCTTTTAAAATCGGTGCGATATTGCTTTTCTTTAATTGTTACCTTTAACTAATTATGTGCTAGATTTAAATGATTGTATATCACATTGTTCTACAATTTTTTGTGTAGGTGCAGCCTTCACAAAATTACACGTGAACTCTTTCTAATTTCAAAGAAAGGGATTTTTTTTCTCGGGTCAAAAATAAAATAAAAAGGATTCTTAAAAAAATATATTTTACCAAATGTTATCAGCACTCCCTTCTGTCTTATAAGAAACTTAAATTTTAATTTAATTTGATATTATATGTAAGAAATAATAAGTAATGTTTGATATATTAATTGCAATATTCCAATCATACCCCACTAAATATTACTCCTCCAGTCATTAATATAGGACCCAATTCTTGAGTTGGTTTTGGTCCTAAATATAAGACTCATTTCTCATATTTATCAATTTTCTCTAAATTACCCCTATAGATACTCTTTCACCCATAATCAAGTAGAAGAGGGAGAGGGAGTACTAAGAAAGATGATTATGGTATTTTAGAAAAAATGTGTCACTTTTCTTATAATTAACTAACTTACCTAACTTCCTTAATCTAATCAAATTAGTTAAATGAGTCTTATATTAAGGACCGGAGGAGTATTACTCTATAATTTATTTCTATCATTTTATTAAAATCCTCTATCTTGACCAATGTGGGACCTTTATTTGGGTAGAACATGAATGGAGCACGATTAATAAACAAGACGGCTTACAATTACATTGTTACATGCACAAACAATATGGAAAATAGACTTTTAGGTGTATAAACAAAGAGGACACCGAAAATCTCCAATCTCTTGAAAAGAAAAGAAAGAGTATAAAAAGTTTAACCCTTTTGATCCAATTTTGGACAAAGAGAATGAAGCTTATCGCGCCTTCATCTGCTGCCATGATTTTAACTTTTAAGCATCCGACTAATTGGCGCAACGATCAACGACGGTGGGTGGCCCATCTCAGAGATTCCACAAATTTAATAATAACAGAAGATTCGCACATGAATTCATCTGGCTTAAATTGATGAAGTTCCAGATGCCAATAAATAAAATAATGTGAGTGCACCTTCCAAGTTTCAAATCATCAAATTGACACTTCAATATTACAACCACCACCTTTAACCTGTTCCCATCAACACACATATCATGGGGTTGCAATATTCAAGGATTTAAATAGTACTACATTAATCAACACACCCTGTGACTTTATTTCACCCCCACACAACTCTTTCTAGATCGGCACGCGTGCTCCAAAATTTAAATAACTTAAGCTATAGATAAACACTCCTTCTACTTACAATTTTTTGTTAAATAAAAATCTAAACTATGATTAATTCTTCACTAAAATTTTGAAGCAGTAGTACTTTTTTTTTGGGGCGGGTTTGATGATGAAATGATGAGCTGAGAGCAGAGAGCGCATAGCGAATAAAATCTGATGAAGATATTCATTGACGTACCAAACAAAAACACTGCCATGAGATGGGTGGAATCAGATTTAGAACAAGTTCACAAAAATAGGGTCTCTTCTTGCTCTTCAACCCATGATGGCCACTTCATGATTATTGGGTATCACCATTTCATTATTCTGATCCTCCATCGCTGTCAGCATCCTCTGATGATGACTGGGACTGACCCTCCATAAGATGCATTAGTGGCTTCTCAGGCTTCAGTTGATCCTTATGAGAACTGGCTGAATCCTCCAACTTCTCATTAGGCCTTTCACTATTATACAGAGCATCCAACTGATGAAAATAAGGACATGTTTTAGAACTCTGAGGCTTTTTCTGGTTTTTCTTCTTCATCCTCTTGAAGTATTTGTTCATATTCTCCCATTTCTCCTTGCATCTCCTGGCACTCCGATCGTACCCAAGTTTCTTCATTGCACAAGATATCTCCTCCCATATAGGATTAGACCCTTTAAGCCCATTTCCTTCATTCTCCACATCCAAGTTTGTCCTCAATCTAATGAAAGCTTCCACTTCATCTTTGGGCCATCTAGAGGAAGATGGACTCGTCAGTGTGAAATTCCCACCATTTCTACATTCTTGCTTTTCAAGAACACTACTGCCTGCATTATCATTTTCTTGCTCGTCCTTATCTAAATCGTTAGGAAGTAGATTCTCAGGTAATTCTATGGTCCCCGTTTGTCCTGTGAACTTACTCAGAAGGGCAAGCACTGCTGCATCTTTTGCCGCAGCAATTGATCTTTCCTGAGCTAAAAGCTCTCGTTCCCTCTTAATCCTAGCTAATTCCTGCATCTTCCATGCTTCCTCTCTTGCCATTCTCTCTTGTTCGCATTTGACTAAAACCTCCATAAAGTTCTTCTGTAGCTCCACTTGCCTCTCTAGTACTTTGTTCATCAACCCCTCAAAACACTTCGTCAGTTTCCTTTTCTTCTTTCGAATGTCTTCCTCTGATTCTTCGCTCGAAGAGGGAGTAGTTGAACTAGAGGGGGCACTAGAGAACCGAATGGAAAATGGGAATGAATCTTGAATAACATTGGACAAATCCATTGGGGTTGTAGTTGTGGCTATGTTTTCCGCCTGTTCTTCATTCTTTTCGGGGTAAGGATGTTGAATAGCACCATGAATAACATCGGACAAATCCATTGGGGTTGTGGTTGTTGCTGTATTTCTCGCTTGTTCTTCATCCTTTTCAGGGTAAGGAGAGTTCATAAGAGGCTCTAAAAGCTCAAAGAATCGGTAAGTCTTGCCGTTGGGTCGGCCATAACGACCTTCCTTGGTCCTTCTGTAGTACTTGTACACGTTTTCAAACTTCTCCTGGCACTTCTTAGCACTCCTATTATATCCTAGCCCCCGTAATCTCCTGAACAGTTCCAAAAACCAATCATTACAGTTAACTAAAAATTTTCAACCACTTGTACCAAAAAAAAAAAAAAGTCTCAACCGTTGCAAAAATAAACCAGGTTAAAAGAATAACAGTGTAACAGTCAGCGCAAAAACTGAAATCGTGGAATTCGATAGGAGTGGACAGAAAAAAGACTATACTTTATAGTGCAAAAGGAAACGGAAGAGACAAGTAAGGACGTAGATTCGAGACGAAAATTGCACTTACAATTCACATTCACAAATTAACACTTGAAGCGCGTAAAACCATAATCTTTTAGAGGCTGAAATTTTGCAGCATTCTCTGGGGACTTTTATCGAACAGGAAGCGATGTATGGGAACTACTGACCTGGAAACTTGTTGCCAAAGATGAACTTTGGGTAAGGTATCCCTGAAATCAGCGTCCATGTCAGACCTTATCTGGAGCAAAGCTTTAGTCTCTTCTGGAGGCCACCGGCCACCGGTGACATTCCGGTCAACGTCTTCGTCTTGGTGTCCATCAGAGACAGGCTTACCACCATCCTCCTCTGCGTGCCTCCGCTGTTGAATGGAGTTTTCGGGTAAACTCGAAGTCGAGTTCTCTAACATCCGTTTAACTAGATTACAGCCGCGACGAGTGCTGTAGTAAAAGGACGGGTGAATCGGCGGAAGGGGAAAAGGCAAATGACTTTGACGGTTTTGAGGTGACGAGATCTTACGTTGTACCTCGGCTTCATAAAATTTTTTCTATTTTTTATTAAAAAAAATATATACTAATAAAAATTACCATTAAATAATATTGTAAATTATTCTTTTCGATCTCACTTATCAAATTGGTCATCATATTATTTTAATTAACACTATTTTTTTACCAGCTAATTTAACTAATACTATAATTATATCATTTCAATGGAAAAATAAAAAATAAAGAAATTGAAAAATGTGATATTTCAAATCAGGCACTTAAGAGTTGAAAATGACGTAAAAGAAAGTGGTATCTAATCTAATATTTTACAAATATTATTAAATAATTAAAATATATTTATATAAAAAAGTTTATTATAGAGTTTTGAATAGTAATGACAAAAAATATATTGATAATAATAAATTATTTATTAATAAGTTATGAATTGATAAGTGTTGAACAACCAATAACAAGAAATGTATTGGTAATAATAAGTTTAATAGTTTTTTTAAAAATCTAATACAATGATATTTTTTTCATTTAACTACATTTACAAAATACCAAATTAGATATCATTTTCTTCTTTGTCATTTTCAACTCATGGGTACTTGAATTGGGAAATAATAATTTCAAGATTCATGTTCTAGAATTTTTTCTTTCAATTTTGTTGACGAGAAAAAAATATTTCAACTTTATCCTATACTACTTCTGATCCTAAATATAAAAACTAATTGAAGATTAAATTTAATTCCAAATATAAAATATCAATATATTTTGTCTCTCAAATTTATAATTTTTTCAAAATACCCTTATTAATTATAAGATATTAAAATTTTCATTGAAAAATAGTTTTATATATATAATTACATAGCATAATTTAATTTTACAAATAAACAACTATATGAATATTTTTAATCTCTTTAAATTAATTATTTATTTCTCATATTAAACACAGGAGGTTCCAACGACACGGGAATTCTTTGTTTACTCTGTACTTCTGTCGCTTCATGTTACCCGCAGTACTTTCTTGGATTATAGGTTTTTCTTCAGTCATTTTAATTTGTTTTCATTTTCATTTTAAGTCTTATAATTATAAGTTTTGATTCCTTAAAAGATTAGAATAGTCCAAGTTTCTATAATTTAAAATTATGGGACCAAAATTAAAATTAAAATCAAATATTATTTAACTCTTTTTTCTTTCTTTGATTTATTTCTGGAAAAAAAACCATTCGATTAAAAAAATAAAATCAACACAATTTCTTACAAACAATTAATTGAATTAATTTCATTAACCTTGGAAAATTAGATATCTAGAAGGATTAACTATTTTTTTTTTCAATAAGACTTGAAACTAAAATCTTAGTCGAAGAATATTAATATTAATATTAAATCTATTGCCACTCAATCTACCTGCCATTATAGATGCTTTTGATTGACGATGACAGCCATCTCAAATTGCCAAATCTTAAAGTCTTAACCCTTTTGCTACTAGGAAGGAGTACTCCAAAAAGAATGCTATTGAGCACAAATACAATTTATGCAATTTATATATATATATATATATATATATATATAGAAAGGATAGACATCACAATTTTGTCACCAATCAAATTATTTATCCTGGAGCTTTTAAGTTTTTCTGTCTTCAATTGTACAATCTGTGCATAGTAAGAGAGAATTTAGCTTAATGCCACCTGAGTACATCGATCAGTAATTAAAATTAGAAGTTGGAGAAGGAAAGGAAAAATATTTGAGTTCAAGTGAGTTTGAGAGTCTAAGAGTTGTGATCTTGAAATCTCTCCAGTACAAAGATATTGCCTTTGTCATCCCTTCCTATCCTCATTGTGTCATCCACATATCTATTGGATCTATCATAGCAAGAAACAATCACAACAGAAGAACCAATCCCCATTTCAAGCAAATTTATTTTTTTTTTTAAGAAAATCAAATTGGTTCTATTTAAAACAATAAAGAAAGAGTGAAATTTCATGTAAATTATTATAGAAAGATTGTAGGAAATCATCGTGATACAGCTCATTTTGTGCTTCATGTAAATGTATAGGACTCATTTAGTGGAAACAAAGAAGGTGAAATAATAACACTCAGGCCCGAAAAATAAATTCAAAAATAAGTAGGTGTCAAAAATTCTTACTAAGAGATGAATTGTTAATATAGACTTGAAAAAAAAAAAAAAACAGGAGACCTAAATGTCATTTTACTAATAAAGAATCTAATTAAGGCTATGTTTGGATTTAGGAAAATAGGGGTTAGAAATACTATTATTCTTACAAGCCAAAAAAACCAATTTCAGTACTCATCGTTTTGATAAGTACTCTAGACTCATCAAATCTGTACCATTTATATCTGATTTGAATGGTCTAAATTTGAAATCTTTAACTAATTATTTTAAATAGAAAAAACTATTTTTTAAAAAAATGATAGTTAAGAGATGGTCTTTATTTTGGATTTTACCCATATTAAAATAATTATTTTGAACAAATAAAAAAAAATCATGACTATCCAAATGAGATATAGATGGTTTAGATCTAATGAGTTTAAGTTGCACCGAAATTGGGATAAATTCTTAGGAAGCATGAGAAAATAAAGGCAAAATCAACATAATGTTGCATTAGGATACGTGGTGTCCAGCCATCCCTCTGGATTGAAGATGCTCAACAAAACATCATAGTTCTTCCGAAACACATTCATTAACTGTGCATTCACAACATTCAATTCAATAACTATGACTAATTAACAGAAAACCCATTCAAGTTCAACGAACATGTTTCTTAAAATGACTTCCATACCTGGTCAGGAGTGATAGTAGAGTTTTCGTAATTAATGAGAACTCTCTGTGAATCAGATCAAAAATCGAAATGTCAGTAATATATATTATCAGCTAAGTAGTAATTTCCAAATCGCAACAATCACAAAAGGAAATAAAGTGAGGAAGATTTAACTGTTGAGGAGGCAATCTTGAAAGAGGCCTCAATACTAAGTTGTCCATTCAACAAACTCAACCCCTTTGAGCTGAACTTGATCACATTCACTGCTTTGCTCTCCATTTTTGCAATCACACATGTTCATCCTTAATTAGTCAAATAAACAAACAAACACTAAAACCAAATTCTTAGAGAGAAAACTTATGATATATATATATATATATATATTCACACACACCTCAGCTACATCAATAACCTGGAAGAAATCATCCAATGAGATGAAGTCTCTGAGGCCTAACTTCGTTCTCTTGGAACCCAGAATTGTGATTGTGCTGTAAACAAGTCTCCAGCACCCAGCCATCTTCCAAATATGAAAACAATTTTAACAGAAAGCTCATAAATGAATGTGACTGATGGCACGGTTAATCAATATTGGAAATTGAATTCAATTCACCTTGTCCAAATTGTGAGTTGGATCTGGAGTTGGACTCGAAGATTCTAGCTGCTTCACTATATTATCAATCTCAGATTTCTTGGCAGAAGTGATTCCAAAAATTCCCCTGTTAATTCCTTCATATATGCATCAATCATATTTCCTCATTCTCCTCTTTTCCAGGCCATGGAAGAAAATGAGAAGCATCGTATGACCAAAAAAAACAGAGAGAGAATAATCCAAGTGAGTATGGTACCTTGCACAGCTTCATAAAGTGCAGTTTTGCAGTGGGAAAGTGCTTCATCACCTAGCAAAGCAGAGCTTCGTTCTGCAGCTTTTGTGATAGTGATGGGTCTGAATCCAAAAGAGGTCTCTGCAAATCTTGATGAAGTGTATGGTTTTGAACGAGGGCTTGATACGACATATCCTTGGAGCTTTGGGATGTTCATGGTTCTGAAAATAAGAGGGTTGAGATGGGAATCAGCCATTGATGGGGGAACTAGCTTAGCGGCCATTTTACAGAAAGCTCTGGCTCTGAAGTCTGAAGGGACTGGGAACTTGGAAACGTGATGGTAGTTTCAAAGCAGACATTTAAGTTGAAGGTTGGGGATAAAAAGACCACAAGACATGTGGCTGAGATTTTGCCCGGTCATTATTGTGGGGGTTGTGAGGGTTGAGAGAGAGAGAGAGAGAGAGATCCTGTTAGGCTGTTACACTTCACTATTTGATTGCCCATTTCAAAAACTGCATATTTCGACAGTAAAATGCAAGAATCTAAAATTAAATTTAAATGTAATCATTTAAGATAATACTTGTAAATTAATAATGAGCAATACTTGTCCATAATATAAGAAGTTTGTTAACTTTTATCACGTACCAATAAATGAAAATTTAGTCATTAAATTTGTCCTAAAATAGTAGAATTTTTTTATTTTATCTTTGAAAAATGATAAAATTGTCTTTAGTGTCACACTTTTATTATCTATGACGAAAGTGAAAAAATTATATTAATTATCTTAATAACATCTTATATTTTGAAATATATTTTTGTCTAACCAACCTCTGATATTATCTTATATTACAAGACAACAGGAAGTGGTGATTTTGGGCAGCTGACGGCAAGTGCGAAGAAGCTGCGACCTTGATTATGGGCATGGTCCTTCAAACGAACGTTTCAAGCGTAAAACAAAATTTAAGAATTCTCCAATAAAACAAGTAAAAGTCCACTAATGAATTGATTGTCTAGACATGTCGTGTGGAGGATAGATAGAATCCAAGAATACATCTGACTAATTATATTGCAAAAGAAGGAGCGCAAGAAAAGGTTAGCCATATCGGCCACAAAATTATGATTATATTTAACTTGATTTACTTATTAAATGATCACACACATGACTTCAATTCAACCCGAATTGTAAAGGCAAATGACAATTAGGTAATAAGGACAAGGAACATAAAACCAAACTGAATATAAACCACAGTTGAGGTAGTAGTTTAAAGAAAAATAGGCTAAACCAATTATATTAAAATAATATAATTTAATTAAAAATAATACAACATTAATAATCACTAATAACAAAATACAAATAAATACAATAATAGTTTGATTTTAATCATAACAAAGTGTAACAATTTTAAAAATATTCTTATTTACGATTCTTCAATAACTAAAATTAATATCAAAATATCAATAAAGTTCATTCAAATCTATAGTGACTAAGATATTATGAGCTGAATAAGAAAAAATAGAATCAATAGTAACATATCATTCAATCGGTTTAACTAGGTAGATATCGGTTTACTATATGATCAATTTAGCTCTTAAACCAGACCGGACCATAGGTCAAGTGATCAGTTTTTTGGTTGAACCAGCCAGTCTGCTTTCTTCCCTTCACCCAAAGATCAAAATAATAATAATTAGATTATGAATAAAATTTTCTAAAAAATGAGTTGCGAATAGTAATTCGGACAATGGTAAATATAAAAGTACTAATTGCAAATAAAATATTTAAGTTTCAAATGAAACTCTCGTTTTGTAACTGATATTCCTTTTCTTATAACGGTTTGAATCCATACTCACAACTCACATTTTAATCAATTTTTCAGGACCGAATTGTCACTAGCTTGATCTTTTAAGCTTATGTCATTCCCCATATTGTAAAGGACCAGAGGAATCCAGGTCAAAAAAAGAGGGGGTAATAAGTCACTAGGGTGGCAGTCTTTTTACAGCCTGCAGCCAAATAGCTTCAAACAGAGCGACACAGTCAATCCACACAGGCAAGATTCCTCAATGAGTTACCTTTTCACCGTTTTTCCTCTCATTTTTTACCGTCCTCAATTGTATCAGAAAAGTAGCAGTATCTCTTACATGTAGCACTGTATGCACTCAAACTCAATTTAAAAAACACTACTGGGGGCAATCTTTCTCTGCTTAGGTGTGACATTGTACGCCTCAGACAACTTAATTTACCAAAAATCAGACATTCTGCAACTTAAAATACTAGTATGCTAGTATATTATCATTGGTAGGTAGATACTTGAGTATTAATGAGGTTCCACATAACTAGAATCCACAAACTTGGGACTCTTATTACAGTAGCTGATAAGCATGATAAAGCAGCTAGATTTTCATCTTTTAACATTTATCAAAGCTAAGCCGAAGTAGCATCAGATTTGGTGGACTCTTGCTGTTGTTTCCACTGCTCTGGGGTCACAGCTTTCTTTATAGAGAGAGCGTGAATCTCTTTCATTTCCTCACCCAATGCAGCATTCACCATTCGATGCCTCTCAAGCAGTCTCTTTCCTTCAAATTGTTCTGATACAATCTCAATTGCAAAGCTAGCTCCGCACCTGATAGCCGCATCAGTTAAATTTTATAGTAAGATAGAGGATGAGCCAAAGGCAAACAATATATATATATATATATTTATATATAGTACAAAGTAGATCTCTTAGTTGGAAAAACTTACCCCCCAGAGGTATCAATGACTTCCTGAAACACAGATGGAAAAAGATTAAGTCGCGGAGAAAACGTCTCATATGGGTACATCTTAATGAAAATTTTGTACAGGATAATCAATTAAAACACATATATGAATTGCAGAGATGCATCGTTTCCATCTTATCATGACATTTTTTTCCTACTAATGAGAAAACAATGAAGATAAAAAAACATTCCTATAATTATGTCTCCATCATCATAACAGTAGTCCCAGCGAAATCATTCAAGAATGAACTACAAATTCAAGTCCTTTTCAAATTTGATCCGTGTATAGTTCTTCATAGGAACGTTTTCATCAAGATATCAGATAGACAAGAATAGTGCCATATAACGGGATGGCTAATAATAAACTCCAGAGAGAGGGAGAGAGACCTAAATCTCCGCTGCAATTTATGGCTATAGTTAACATTTAATTTACACATCTATACCACTATCATCAAGGAGGAAGAGAGACAGAGAGAGACAGAGACCAATATAATGTGGCAGACTACAGGTGACACTCTAACTTTAATTCTAGATTTCACTTTACATAAGCAAGGGTGGAGGGAGAAGATGCCTGTGTGAGCCTTTTTGGGATGCTTTACCATAGTGTGGGAAATTACGCACCAGCCCAAGCTGAGCAATAAGGTTGATTAACACTCAAACAGACTGGTTGGTTGCAAATTTGAAGACCAATTTCCTTAGGAGTGCCATATTGTTCCACAAAGCAAAAACCAAAAGGTCAACTTACAAATAAACCACAAGTCTTATCCTAAAGTGAGGTTGGTTACACGACCACAAGACACCATTGTATTCTATCAACAACAAAATCTTCAAATAACTTGCAAGTCCATCGTGCAAAAAAATTAGCCATAAGACAAGATGCAAGGCATGTGTGACTAGAGATATATTAAAGCCCAAAAAGTCATAGTAGAATTGGTTAGATCCAACAGTTTCCTTAAGACTGAAAGTCAACACAGATAAGGAATGAGGCGATGGGCAATACCAACTGAGGTAGTCACGTAGTGAAGCACGAGCACTTGAACAAGTTTTAAGATTAAGTAAACAGAACAAAGGTGCCTATTTAATAGTGAATAAATGCAAGTGGAAGACAGAGGGACCCGTCATCTTAGTCTCTATGAAGTTGATAGTACCCAGCAGGCAACAGAGGAAAATCAGATTCCTATTCAAGATCGTTATTGCAACATAAACACAAAACCCCACCTTCTGATCATCACATCAAACTTCACTTGTGAAATATAATCTCCTCCTTGTCTATGAGAATCTCCTTGCATTTGTGATCTTTAAGCAAGCTGCTTGCAGCCAGACACACTGGATCCAATAAATTCTAAACTCTAAACCAACCAACCCAACCCAACCCATAAATATAGAACACTTTTGAAAGGGCATTCACTGTTCATTCTTTCTCCTTTACGTCTTCAGGTTCAGAACTTCATGTTTAAAATCCATAGAATTACCGTAAACGTGCAGCTCCGTAGTCATCGGTTTGTCAGGTAACATAGCATTTCAATATATCTACAAAACTGGTTACTGAATTTTATTTCACTTAAATATTACGATGGAAGAAAAGGGAGAAGTAGGGGGCACAGGTTTGTGGGATCCAGTGCGCATTCTAAAAATAAAAACTTGAGAATACCATAACAAAGTCTAGTTCACCGCTGCAATTTGATTACTCATATTCGTCATAGCTTTGCAGAGACATGTAATTGCTTTAAGCACATTTCATCACCGGCTGACTCTTGTCTCATGGGTTTTATGCTACGGCGGAAACTCATGGGCATGGGTTCGAGCTGGTAGGACCTTTGAAAATGTCATTCTCCCTTGGGAATTAATTATCCTGCCTATGAGGTATTTCAAAATACCTCTCCTTTTAATCTTTTTCGAAAAAAATATACTTCATCCACAACACAGCGCGGACCCCCCCCCAGGACCATCAGTATTAAACCAGAACGAAGAAATGAAGAGGACGACGGTGCACACAAAGGATTCAGAAAACTTACCATATGTGAGGGATTCAATTTGGCCGTCAAGGAAGTTTCAACTTGTTCCTTTGTTACTCCCATCTCTCTTCCCGTCTTCGGCCTTCCCGTTCTTCCGCAGTCGTCACGTCAATTCTGGTTCTTCAATTTATGATTTATACTCCGAAACGGAAAAGAATAAAACTTTCGCAACTACAGCCAAAAAGATGAAAATGATGGCACAAATAAATATTCATGCCTATCTAGTATTTTTATCACTATTCTAATTCCTTCTCCTTCTTATTCTTCTTTTACTTTGATAAAAATAATTTAAAAATTGAATAATTAAAATTTACAATTTTTAATAGAATAAAAATGTAAGACAGGACTTGTACTTTTTTTCCTAATTAATATCTATATTGGAATTTTTTTTCGCAGACTTTAAATACAGACTAGTCTGTAAGTTAGTTTGTATTTTATTTTTATTTATAAATTTTTTTTGGAAAACAGAATCCTTAACAAGTTTCATAAAGACAAAAACCAATGGTACTCTTCTTTTTTGAAAAAATTCTAATAATGTAACTAGTAATGTATCCAAGACTAATTAAATTCCTAAATCTCTTCGTCATTTGTTTAACTTCTTTCTTCATTGTTTAAATGTTTTGGTTAAACATTCAAGTGGAATCTGTTTTTTATACTAAAGTTCTGGGTTTTCAATCTAGCTTCAATTTTTTTTTTTTTTGGGGTTCATGTTTCAAGTTTGATATATGGCATAAAAGGTTGTGAAGGAATAGCTTCATAAATTCAAAATTATGTTTACTGCAAATTTAGTCCTAAATGATTTCAACTTTTCAAGGCCACCTGGTTCGTTTATTTTCATAAAATTTACAATAATTGCTGATCTTACTCCCTCTGTCTTTTACTATAAAATCTAATTTTTTGAACGAGTTTGTTTCTTTTTATAAGATTCTCTTTGAATTTGTCTGAATATTGAATACATTATTACTTATTTTACTCCTAATTTAATACATTTAATACATTCTTTTTCTTCATTTATCTCATTATTACTCTTTTTAAATTTACCCATTTATGTATAGGGATATATTTAAAAAAATTATATTTACTACATATTAATTGTTTTTAATTAATTTTAACTGTTTTCTTAAACAGCGCAATTTTGTTAAAATAATCTTATAATAAGAGACAGAGAAGTATTTTATAAGTTTTAAGAGTGATTTTGCAACATACAATAAACACTAAAATTAAATGATGTTATAGTATTCTTTTTCCTAATAAATAGAATAATAATTTATCATACTTAAGTAAACCATAAAGTAACAAAATCCTAAATGTTCAAATTTGATTAAAAAAATTAAAATGGTCAAAAATATTTGATTAAAAAATTAACTGTATTTTTGGCCAAAAAAATTAATTGAATTTGATATGAAAATGAAATAATTTGAAATTCCATTTTAATCGAAAAAATATAATTAATTTTATAAACCCGCAAATCCGACTCTACTGTGGCAGGGGTAGAGCTTCATTTTTGGTTCGGCATTCCACTCTTGGTCGAGCTCGCCGTTGGACGCCGTCCTCCGTTGTCAGCCCTGCGCTGTTGTTCTGCGACTAGTATTGAAGAAGGTACGAACTTTAGGGCTTTGTCTTTATTTGTTCAGTCTAGCTTTGAATCTAGATATGAATTTGTTCCCCGCCTCATCTGTTAAATTGTCAACCCTGCCTCGGACGTCGTCGCACCGTTTCTTGCTTTGTTTTAAATTTTTCATCATTGTCATTCTTCAGTGGCTTGGAGGAGTTGCCTGAATCAATTGGCTTGCTAAGGCATCTTCGTTAGAGTATCTGGAACGAAAACTAAAAGGTATGATATCAAATATGCATATTTCAATGATTTCAGTGGGAGCAGATGCCGCCACTGAGTGTAATATAGGCCCGCCTATATGAACAATTCTCTGCAGTTACGGTGCATGGGTAGTTACATTGGAGTTCAAAATGCAGTTTTGCTACATCGATTCTGGCATTTGTCTGAGAAAATTCCCTTGACTTTCATTTCATTTTCTTGATTGAGGTTGATTTAATCAAATTATGGTGTAACTTTTTCTGGGGTCAGGATTTTCTTTGCTGCATTTTTTAATTTCCTCGATCTGAATATGTTTTTTATTGGATTCTCATATTTATGCTTATTAATAGTTTTACGAGGTCCCCAATCCCCATGGATTCCAGTGAGAAAGGGGTATGAGATGATTTTTTTTACACTAATTGTGAAATGCACCCTACAACTGTCCTGGATAGTGGCCATCTCTAAGCTTGTTCTCCTGCAAAACTCTAGACCACGAAATTGATAATGACAATGATTTTACCAGTGAAAGCAATATGCTGAGAAGGAGACTATGTATTCTCTCAACAATTATTGGAAATTCAATTGCTAGCAAATCTCTTCACAGTCATGCATGCCCACCTGTTCAATTTCATCTGCTGAAACATCCACAATCGCTTGACTCTCGTGCAACCTTTAACCATAATGGGTTCATGTATTCTCATAGTCTTAGAGCTTACAGTCTTCTGAGCTTGAATGATCTGAGAGATAACGTGCCAAGAAAACAGAAAACCAGAAAGGGTCGAGGGATTGGATCTGGGAAGGGCAAGACTGCTGGGAGAGGTCACAAGGGCCAGAAGGCCAGAGGGCATGGGAAATTGGGTTTTGAAGGAGGTCAGACTCCACTTCGACGAAGGTTGCCAAAACGTGGATTCAAGAATCCATTTAGCCTCACTTTTCAGGTGCTTATTTTTGTATTTATTCATATTTTTTGCTTTTCTTCTGTTTGACGTAGTGGGATATATGATTCAGAATGCGCACCATTTTTGTGACACCTTGCAAAGAAAATGCACCATTCCGAGCATATTTAGCTATCTGTGTAAATTTTAATTTCATCATATATCGTTTCTCGCAGCCCGTGGGTTTAGGTAAAATTGCCAAGCTTATAAACGCAGGGAAGATAGATTCGTCTGAACTGATTACAATGAAAACCCTCAAGGTCTAGTCACTGTTACTTCATTTTGAGTTAAATTGATTCACTTCACATGCTTCCTCTCATTCTGGTCACAATTATTACCATAGGATACAGGGGCAATTGGAAAGCAGATAAAAGATGGAGTAAGATTGATGGGACGTGGTGCTGAGCAGATCAAGTGGCCAATTCATCTGGAGGTAGACTTTATAAGGACTGCCAGTGCTTGAGAATCGTGATCATGCTTTTTGCTTCCCAACTAAAAATGATTTTTCAATTTTTAGCCTAATCAGTATCACTGATCACTCATCAAATTGTTGCTTGTGTTAAGTAAATTATGATTACTAGGTTGATGTCTTGAGAGGGCCTGTACAGCCGTTGCACCATTTGGAATTTAAACCATTTATCAGTAGGAGCACTCAGATAGTCAGATTCTAACCTTGGTAACTTGGGTGATATAGGAAGAGTATATATGTATGGTTTCTTAGAAAGTGGAAGAAAAGAATAGAGACAACGTTAGCTGCTTACTATCTTTTTAAAGAAAGTTCTCATAATCGTCAATCACTACCAATATATCTATGAAACTTGTAAGAGGCTATACAGTTCAGTGCGGCTTATCTCAAGTTTTGTGCAAATTCGTAGATCCATTCGAGTTTGTCCAAATTTTTCAAAGAAATCAGGTCGAAGGGTTTTGCATTAATTTCTGTTGGTCATCGCAGTATTCTTTCTTTCTCCCTGAATCTTTCTTGTTCTTTGAACTTTGAAGGAATTTTGAAAACATTGAAGAGTTATTTGGCTGATAACCAAGCCTTTTCCTTTGCTAAAAGAAATCTAAGATGTATTCCTTGCTCTGATTAACTCTAAAAAATACTTGAATGTAATGACGGTGCATTGTGCTTCTGTTTGTGCACAACCAAAAAAAAAAAATTATGCAAAGCGTGTCTTGCAATTCCTTGATTTTCAGGTGTCAAGGGTCACTGTAAGAGCCAAGGAAGCAGTTGAAGCAGCCGGTGGGTCTGTGAGAAGGGTATATTACAATAAGCTGGGCCTGCGGGCACTTCTGAAGCCAGAGTGGTTTGAGAAGAAGGGAAGATTGTTGCCAAAAGCAGCTAGACCTCCTCCCAAACAAAGAGAGAAAGTTGACAGCATTGGTCGACTTCCTGCTCCAACTAAGCCAATTCCATTTTCGGTTGAAGAAAAGGAAGCACCTTTGACTTCATAAGGCGCAGTTGTTGGTTACTCAGATAATTAGAGCTTAGTTTTTACTTGTAATATTTCAGCTGTGGTTGGAACTCACTTTGTTAAATGTCTAGGGAAGGAAAAACAGCAAGAACTAGGCGGAGGTTTCATTTTTATTGGGGTCCTTTGCCCTTTGAATTCAGATCGAACTTCTGTCATTTCTTTTTTATTTTTGGTTCTTTTGGCATTGATTATGCAAATATTAGCTTCCTAGATGAACTGACCAGCTCAGAAATCATCTGGAAAAGCACTCGAATGGATCAGAGGAGAAAAACAGGATTTTGGTCATGAAATATTGTAATTGGTATCAATTTTCACGGATCATCGCATATTCAAGAGCCCATTTAATTCTGTCTGATCTCAACACGTTTGCATTTGTCAACGAATATATTCCTTAATAAAATTTTGGAAGAGGCTTGGGGAGACCTTTTGTTATGTAGATTTTTGTCACTAGTGATAATATGCTATCGTTACCTTTCAGTTTCAAGTTGCGGATCTCTGATGAAGTTTCTTAATTTATCGTTCATGAATAGTATGGGTTTTGAATGGTGCAACTTTCTCTATCTTTTGTATTTAACTTTTTTATGGATTATATAAAGCCACATAGATAGCTATATAGATATGTTGCTTTTTTAATAATTCTGTCAAAGTTATATGCTATTACATTCAGTCTTTAATATAAGATCTTGTTTAACTTCTATTTTGATCCTAAATATAAGACTCCAATCCACTGTCTCTTATATTTATGTATTTTTTTCAAGATAGTCCTTCTAACTTGATTAGTAAGGATATTTTAAAAAAGACACTATATATTTATTACAAATAACTAATTTAATTTTTTTTAATCTTCTCAAATTAGTTAACTAGTTATTATAATTAGAATCGGAGGTAGTATGAAGCAACTTTATGAATTTGGCAGTGGTGGGGCGATGAGGCCACCACTAGTGGCCGAGGGGAAAGAGAATAATTGGAGAGGGACCAGCAAGAGAGAAGAATCAAATCAGGGGAATGAAAGATAGGAGAAAAATTATGCCGTAATATTCAATATATTTACAGTATTGTTTCTCAATATTATTTGTGTTTATTTCTGAAGATAAACATATAAATATTATCTTTTATTAATTTTATATATTTTCTATTTTTCTCTCTGTTTCGTATTTTTCGAGCAAACACGTTAGGGGCCAAAAAGATGAAGGTTAAGGAAAAATAAGACTAGTCTCTGTATGTGAAGGCCAAGCCGAAGCACGGTAAAAACCATGAAACCTAGCTGACATCGGGGCTAGTTGTAGTTAGCGTCAAGTATCAGTGTCGCTCAGCATTCTGCTTCGAGTCCGGCGGCTCGTGAAGTGAGTCCGGCGGCTCGTGAAGTCCGGTAGAGACCACGCTGTTCCGTGTTCATTCCTCTCATTCTCATCCTTGGCCTCCACAAATAAGCCTTACTTCTCATTCTCTGCTTCGCGTCACCACCACACACCGCTCCTCCCTCCTCGCTAGTTTCCTCCGTCGCAAGATCGCTTTCAGGAGATCTGCTGGTTCGAGCCTCTTCTCCATTTCTCCCTATTTGCTTCAGGGTAACCACCAACGCTTAAACGCTGCTTTTGATTTCAGTTGTCTTCTGCTTCAGCCTTGTTCGCCTCTGGCTATAACATTCTTGTATATTTTTTTGAATTTGATTTTTGGTATATTTGATTTCTGTTATGTGAATAGCTTTTTCTTGTATTTGTTTTTTAATTTTTCGGCTGAGTTTTGTCATTCTCTCTTGGATTCTTTTATGATTTGCAGGTGAATTTTTTTCCTGATTAATTTATTGGTTTGGACTTTGTTTAATTTTGCTGGGAGTCTTGTTTTGATTTTTCCAATCTTTAACCTGTTGTATGTAATCAAAGACAAATTTTCTTATTATTTCTTACTTGTGTTGAAAGCTGGTATTCTCCCTCCTTCCGCTTCTTCCTTCTACCCCTTCCAGTGAACAACATTTTTTCCCCTTTTCAGCATCTTGGTTAATTGGGCGAGCGGGGCAATGGCAACAAAGGCTTTGAGCTTTGTTGTTTGCGACTTCACAAGCCGATTTGATTCGAAGTTCTCACCTTGTCGTTCAAGGGCTCCCACACTTAGATGCTCTGTCCATTTCTCCTCTGACGCTGCTACCACTGGTAAAGCAACCTTCTACCGACTCTTGTTTTCTATGTCTGTTCTGAGCCCAGACGAATCTCGTTCATATATTTTCTTGCTCTGCCTCTTAATCACAAAGGTGGAGGATCATCATCTGTTTTGCCAAGATTTTTTTCTTTTGCCGCTTAACTTTGGCTGGTTATAATAAATTTTTCATATGCATTATGTGGTTGAGCTGATGTAATTACGTATCAATAGACAGGAGAATATTAATAAAACCGGTGATGCTTTCTAACTCAGATTCACTGTTCTAGTTGTGATGAAAATTTGTGCCTTGGCAGTTGAATCCTGTCATTGATGAATTTCTGGATGTTAATGAATTGGGTGGTTATTTTACATTCTTTAAACATAGTTGTTGATAGCTATGTCGCTATGAAGTTCAAAATTCAATTTGCTTGACATATGTGAAGTCAGCTTCTTTACTTCCTCGCATTTTTATCCCTGAAAGTAAATTATGTACGACAGTTTCAATTTATTTGGTAAAATTAAGCTTACAGTTTCTTTCGTTCTATCAATAGTGGTTTTTCAGTTAACTATTCTCTTTCTTCCTCCAATATATGTACTTTAAATGTAAGGAAATCCATATATTATCACTAAGAGACTAAAGAAATTTATGTAGTTGTATTGCCTGAAACATAGGTAAGGAACAAAGGCCTTGAGAAAATTCAGATGCTGACTTCTGCTGATGAACTTGTCAATCTGGATATAAGCATATTAATAAAAATTATACAGAAATATTTGTCTGTGAAACCAGTGACGCTTTCAAACTCAGATTCGTTTTTCTGGTTCTGATGAAAATTTGTGCATCATCAATTGAATTCTATCACTGATGAATTCTGGATCTTTATGAGTTTTGTCGTCATTTTTATGATCTGTTAACATATTTGCTACCGCCCCATGTTGAAACTTCAGTTTCTCAAAAAGGTGTGAACCAAAATTTACTTGTGTTTCTTCTCTGAAACCGAATTATGCACTGCACTTCCATTTGATTTTGTAAAATGAACGCTTCAATCCCTGTCATTCCAGTACTAGTCTTTTTCAAGTGAATATCCCTTTTTCCCTCTGATATGAATGAAAGAAAATTCTTATATTATTGCAAAGGGTAGAGAAATTGATGTAGATTTATTACCTGGAACATAGGTAAGGAACAGAGGCCTTGGAAAAATTCAGATGCTAGACTTGTGCTGGAGGATGGTTCAATCTGGAGAGCCAAGTCATTTGGGGCTTCAGGAACCCAAGTTGGTGAAGTTGTATTTAATACGTCATTAACTGGGTGAGATAGAGTGTATATCTGAATACCCATAGCAGCAATTCATTTACCCTTTTTTCAGTGGATTAGTTTCTACATATCATTATCTGTTATGCATATGCACTGCAGGTATCAAGAAATTCTGACAGATCCTAGTTATGCTGGCCAGTTTGTGCTGATGACAAATCCACATATTGGCAATACTGGTGTAAATTTTGGTGAGTGAAATGGTTTGTATTCTTAATTTCTTGAATTTTAGTTCTTGGAAGGCATTTAAATATTTTTTTAATGCGTTTCCTGGCAGATGATGAAGAATCTAGAGAGTGCTTCCTTGCTGGTCTAGTAATCAGAAGTTTGAGTATTAGGTTCTTTTCTGCTGCTCTAAATATATTTCCCTTGACTTAACTCTACTTAGTGTACTGACACTTTCTTCCTTTCGTGTAAATATTTTTCAGCACTTCAAACTGGAGATGCGCAGAACCACTGGGCGATTATTTAGCAAAAAGGAATATCATGGGAATCTGTAAGTTTTTATATAGTAACTGCAGAAGTGGTTTTTAGAAGATCATTGGTCTGTGCATGATTTCAGGTTCTGATATTCATTTCGGTGCTTCCTTTGTGATGAAACAGATGATGTTGATACCCGTGCAATCACACGCAGGCTAAGGGAAGATGGAAGTCTTATTGGTGTCTTGAGCACTGACAATTCTAAAACAGATGATGAACTACTTCAGATGTCTCGTTCATGGGATATTGTTGGTAAGCTTGCAAACCTTTGAGGTTGTAGAAACAGTTCAATGAGTAGAAGTTCATCACTACTGCTTCATTTATTCAGGTATTGATCTAATAAGTGGAGTATCATGCAAAGCACCTTATGAATGGGTTGACCAAACAGCTCAAGAATGGGGTTTTAACTCCAATGGAAGTCCTAGAGAGACCTTCCATGTAATTTTCTATGGTGCATTGTTTGATCCACTTCTTTATTGTTGACAATGAGGTAGTTTAATTTACCCATCATTCTGGTGACCAAATTGCAGATTGTTGCATATGATTTTGGAATCAAGCTTAATATACTTAGGCGCCTAGCATCTTATGGCTGTAAAATTACTGTGGTACCATCTACATGGCCAGCATCAGATACTTTAAAGTTGAAGCCAGATGGAATTCTTTTCAGTAATGGTCCTGGTGATCCCTCTGCTGTTCCCTATGCCATTGAAACTGTGAAGAATATCCTGGGAAAGGTGCCTGTTTTTGGAATTTGCATGGGCCATCAATTGTTAGGCCAGGCATTGGGAGGTAAAACCTTTAAGATGAAATTTGGTCACCATGGAGGAAATCATCCAGTTCGTAACCTACTAACTGGCCATGTTGAAATTAGTGCTCAGGTACATAATTGAGTTATTTTTCTTGAAAATTTATTTTGAGACAAGCACATATGGAAAGGAATGATTCCTAGTTTCTTGGGTGATATATGACTTCCCAAGCACATGCAATTCTTCACCGTGAGTAAAATTATTAACTGGACCAGCATGATTAGACTTTTGGTCTTGCTATGAGCTATGAAGTAGAAAACCATGCGTAGCAGCAATGTCAATGGAAAAACTTCATCCTTTGGCATCCTGTATTTGATATGATAAACAAATATTTGTGGCCGCATAAAGTTTGTTATCAATTTGAAATGAAACTTGGTTATTATCTTTCCATTTCCCTGAAGTATATATTTTCTTTCAAAATGGCAGAATCACAACTATGCGGTTGACCCTGCAACATTGCCAGAAGGAGTAAAGGTTACTCATATCAATCTTAATGACGGAAGTTGTGCCGGCCTCGCATTTCCTGCTCAGAAGATCATGTCACTTCAATACCACCCTGAAGCATCTCCAGGACCTCATGATTCCGATTATGGTATGAGACTACTAGTCATTACAATTTATAAAACACAAATGTCAAGGGGGAATCAAAGCTTGTCATAATGCTCAGATGCATTTAGTGATGAAAATTATGCTATACCGTGAAAAATTATTAGTGCTATTAAGTAATTTGAATAGTTTCTTTCACTTGATTTTTGAAAAAGAAAAAATTAAAAAATCAATAATGCTCACACGATTTATTGATGGTGCAGCTTTCAAGCAGTTTGTGGAGCTAATGAGGAAGGAAAGAAACATGAAGCCTGAAGCAAATCTACACCATCTGTCAACCGTGCAAGTTGTGGATGCTTAGTGCTGTTAAGCGAGCTGCTATTCCAATGAGGATGAAATGTTAGGCATTAGTATCAATGATTTTGTAGATGAATTTATCCATCAATGTTCTGCCAAGTTTAATTTAGGTTTTCATGGTCTACCTTGTGTACCTAAAGCTAGCTTGCCTGAGATTGCTGTATCTTTGCAGTCAAATGAGGAATTCGTTTTGTCTGGAACTTTTGGATTGAGCAGTTGGATAATCACAAGATCACCATGTTACAATTCTCTGATGGTTCATACTCCCTAATTACATTGGTCACTGTCCAACACTAGGAAACTTGTGGGGAGAGCATGAAACTTGCAATCTTGTTTTTGGGAGATTTAGGCTGTGCAGTCCCACCTCTAATTTATGGGATCGATCGTACCACAGCAAGTAACATCTAAACAGCACATACGATGACTATTCGAACATACTATAGACAGATATGAAGCTTCAACCATTGGAATTACCACAGGTGAAATATGGAAGACTAGAAGATTAAGAACCAGACATTTGCTCATTCGTCCTTGGCGGAACAACCAAAATTTGAGGTCAAATAAAACAACCATTTCGAGCATAATTGGACCTTTGCTTAAAAACAACTGAAATAAGACTAGCCAAAGCAAAGCAAAGTAACCTGTTCCAGTTTCCCAATTCTCTGCTTGAATTCCCTTTAGCTTTGGGCATGAGAAAAGCTAGTCGTCAAGCCCCTCCGCAGTACCTCTTAACTGCAAACCACCCATTTCACCGTGTGTCGGGAAGACCCAATGCGGTAAAAAATGATCATATTCAACATGAAACAAAAACTAAACTCATCTAATCTATCTCAAATTGTGTGACCATATTTGGGGGTCCCCACAGAAAAATACAAATGCATTAGGCTCTCTTTCCTCAATGTCTCAAATACATTAAACCAAAAATATGCCTAGATATAATCAAGTACAAAGCTTCACTGATTGGAAGCTCTACAAGTGAGAGAAGGCTGAAGAAAATTAAATCATCTTTCAATATTTCCAGAGCCCTCCACCACCCAAAAGAGTTCAAAGGTCGATCACACCGATATTTTTGGTTGTTTAAAGACACCGGATAGCCCAATCCTGATTTTATAGATCAGGATGCGAAGAGTAAATTGTCAGTTTTAAATTATAACAGGAACAAAAGTCATCTAATTCGATAAATAAATTCATTGATCATAATTAAACAGTCTACTGAGAGTAGATCATTGTTCATTTTCTCATATTTGCCGGGAACAGCATTGAAGACCTAGATACAATCCACTTGATTTCTAAAGATAAATTGTTCTTAAGCTCTCTCGCCTCTAATTCTCCTGGCAAGTTGAATATCCTTCGGCATGATAGTAACCCTCTTCGCATGAATGGCACACAAGTTAGTGTCTTCAAACAACCCTACCAGATACGCCTCAGCGGCTTCCTGGAGAGCAGCCACAGCACTGCTCTGAAACCTCAGATCGGTCTTGAAATCCTGAGCAATTTCTCGAACCAGACGCTGAAATGGAAGCTTGCGAATGAGAAGCTCAGTGCTCTTCTGGTACTTTCTGATTTCTCTCAAGGCCACAGTTCCTGGCCTGAAACGGTGAGGCTTCTTGACACCACCGGTAGCCGGAGCAGATTTCCTAGCAGCCTTGGTGGCCAGCTGCTTGCGAGGAGCCTTTCCACCGGTAGACTTACGAGCAGTCTGCTTGGTTCTTGCCATTGTTGAGTTTGCTTCTATTGAAACTGCCTGCGATATAAAATTGAAAGAAAAGACGGAAGAGTAGCTATGAAGTCGAAGGTGAGGGGATTTTGGTATTTATAGATGATGGGGTATTGAAATTTTTGGAGGGAGAGTGGGGGAGCCAGGTGGGTTTCGATGAACAGATGACGAGGATTGAGGATTGATCTGACGGTGAGGATTTGGTTATGAGGCATCACACGGATCGCCCTCTTTTAGTGGGAGCCAGAGATTTTTTAATTTTGGTTTTTAAATTTTCAAGCTTGGCGCTATAACTTCCAAGCGAGAGAGCTCTGTTTTCAAATTTCATTTCTCTCTTTGGTTCATTTTTTGGTCCCTCCCAGTGGCGGGTGAGTTTCAGCTTCCAGATACCGAATCAAAGGTCTGGTTCCGAGAAAGCAAAAAACAAAAACAAAAAAAGAGGAAAATGATAAAAAAAGAAGTTGAAAAATATAATATTCCAGATCAGCCAGTTGAAAATAATAGAGAAAAAAGTGGTACCTCTTATCTGGTACTTTACAAATATAGTTAAATAATTAAAATGTCTTTATATAAAAAAGCTTATTAAAATGATAAGTGTCAAATAGCAAATGACAAAAAATGTATTAGCAATGAAAAATTATTAAATTAACAAATTGTGAATGCCAATAATAAGTATTGAACAGTTAGTACCAAAAAATATACTGATAATGACAAATTTGATTTTTTTCCAAATCTGATACAAAGCATTTTAGTTATTTAACTATGTTTACAAAATACCAAATCTGACATTACTTTCTTCTTTGTCATTTTCAACTTAGGTGCCTAAATTGGGAAATAATAATTTTAGGGTTCTTTTTTTGAAATTATTCCCAAAACAAAACAACACAAAAAGAAAATAATGGGAAATGAAAATTCAACAAATTGAAAAAATGCATTAATAACTAATAAATTAGTTGAGACTTAAGATACTGATTAAAAGTTTAATAATTAGATTGCAGTCAAGCTATGCTCAAATTAGTATACTTTAATTATATGAGCTATCTTAGAATAAAAATGATAAGTATATTAAAAACTGATCTCAAATAATAGGAAAAATGACAGAAAAATGACAAATAGACTTCATAATGCCAAAAACATCACCTGAATTTGAGAAATCCCGTTTTGATCACATGAGATCAAATTGGAATTATCATGTTAAATGGAAAGATGAAACTGCCCTCTATATTATTTGAAACAAAAGCGGGGGGAGAGAGGTGCAGTTTTCTCACACTGTCATCCTTGGTTGAAACTGACGACACGAAAAATAGAGAAGAGAGCAGAGGAGGAAGCTGCTGCTTTGGAAGAAGAGAAGAAAGAAGGACGCATTGGTAATGCTGTGGTCACCGTCGAAGAAGAGAAAAGAAAAGAATGACCAAAAGGATACATTGTGGGAGACGATCGAAGGGGAAAAAGAGAGAAGAGGAGCAATTTGCACTGAGATAGAGGTAAGTTTGTCTGACATTTCCTCATTGTGTTTGTTAATGGGCAGTGGGCGAATGTCATACCTCCTTTCCTTCTCTTATATGAGTTGTATAGGGTACATTCTAATATTTCTTCTTCCTTGATTTTCCAGAGTGTTGCTTTTTTTATTTTTTCTTCTCTGTTGTGTTGTACGTGTGGATTGGGAAATTATTGGTTTTCCTCCAATTGCTTTTTGATTTGAGTTTTATCAAGGTTTGGCGATTATGTAGAGCTGGATTATAGTTGTAATATATGAAGTTTGGACTATGATTTTAAGAGAAATATCTTTGAGCTTGTCAAATTGAATGCACTCTAAGTATTTGATAAAATGTTTAGAATGAGAATTTAAAGTTAATAGATATGACTAATGTAGCATAGACCAAATTATGGGACTATCACGTGTTAATATAACAATTACTTCCAGTTATAATTCGAGACATTATGAAAAATAATGTAAGAAGTACTATTACAAGACTTTATATATTGTTCAATGCCATTTGCAGCAAAGTCATTGATCTTGCTGAGTTAGATGAATTAGAAAATGAAGGTTATGTGATCCTCTTCCAATTGAAAATATACTTTCCTCCATCATTTTTTGGCATTATGATCCACTTGATAGCTCACTTTGTGCGAGAGATAAGACTTTGTGACCCTGTATGTTTAAAGTGGATGTACCCATTTGAGAGATACATGAAAATCCTAAAAAGGTACTTTAAGAATCCTTATCGGCCTAAGGCATCAATTGTTGAGAAATATATAGCTGAGAAGACAGTTGAGTTTTGTAACACATATCTTGATAGGGTAAAGGCACTTAAACTTCCTCAATCCTGACATGATCAAGGGAGAAGCAAGGGAACACGGGGTATCATAATAAGGTCTATGTCAAGAGAAGCTATAATGCAAGCACATTTATAAATTTTAAACAACACGGAGGAAGTTTTGCCTTATTTGAATACTCACAAGAATATACTGAAAAACTTGAATCCAAAAAAGAACGATATGCAACTAGCTAATAGGCATAACAAGTTATTTGCAGAGTGGTTCAAGCAAAAAGTGTTAAAGGATAGTAATCCTTTTGAGACAATACAGAGGCTAGCTACAGGGCCTTATTTTGAGGTTATGTATTGGGGCGGATATGACATAAATGGTTATCCATTTTACATAAAAACCCAAGATAATAAGAGTACCATGCAAAATAATAGGGTGATGGTAGTAGCCAAAACTATGCATTTTGCTAGTTTAAAAGATAGAAACCCAACATTGACGTCAATGTTCTATTATAGATAATAGGAGAGATATGGGAGTTTAGCTATACCAAATTTAAAGTTCTCATCCTCAAATATAAGTGGGTTCATAGTAATACTATGCAAGTAGACGAAGAATTTGGATTTGTTTCGGTCGATCTTGAGAGGGTTGGATATGAAGATGAGCCATTTATTTTAGCAAATCAAGCGAAACAAGTGTTTTATGTTACTAATCTAGTAAAGAAGAAATTGTCTATCGTGCTCTAAGGTAAGAGGCAAGAAGTTGGTGGAGATAACGGTGACTCGGAGTTTAATCTTGACGAAACCCTGCCTTTCACAGCTACTTGATCTAAAACAGTTGAATTAGATTTGGTAGATGATGACTATGCTATTAGAGATAATCATTGTGAAAGAATTTGGGAGGATAATTTTTGTAAGGGCTAAATAAATTATTTGATGTTACTCGTTAAATTCATTTCATATTTATCATTTATTCATAATGTGATGTTTTTTTGTTAAATATACTTGATGTTTTATATTAACTTTACTTGATGTTTCTTATTCTTACATTTATTGATTGTTCTTTGAACAAGAAATGAACGGATCTGGTCAATAGGGTTCTAGCAATGACAACTCCTTTACTAGCAGGAGAAATGGTAAAAGGCCAACCTATATGAAAAAGTTGGCTTTACGTGATAAGACCACATAGCCCATGAGGATTACAGTAGAGTTTGATGATGATTTGAAAGCTGTAGGTCCTAAAAGGGCTCAATTTATTAGTTATGGGG